TAAACTTTAAAAATTCATATCTTAAGATATACTTTGCCAAATAACTTAATTCTTGTTCTCATGAACTCCTCTTTTACATAAGAATCATTCATTTAAATCATACTTTTCCAGCATATTCATATCTTTATGAAAATCTCATGCAATTCATCATCTTATCACCTCAAGTACATATATCATATAATTGATCTTTAACATCTTTAACTCTTTGTATCAATTATAAACTTCAACTTCTAAATCATGATATACATACTCATAAACATGTAAACTCATTTTCAAAACATGAACTTAAGCATGTAACTTTAAGATAAGTAAATTACCTCCTTCTTGCTAGAGTAAAAACTTCATTCTTCTTTACTTCTCCAAAGTTTATCCCACTCATTCTCTCTTTCACTCTTATTTAACTTTGGAACTTTATTTTGGTGTGAAAAACTCTGAATTTTAGGCCTCTATTTATAGGCACAATTGTGAGAAATATCCAAATAGAGTGAATTTTTGTTCATAATAAACAAATGTAACTTATATCTTTAAATACTCATAAACAAATGTAACTTATATCTTTAAATACTCATAAAATATTTTATGATCAACTTATTCAACTCTCCAAACATATTATATACTTAGAAATTTCCTTTGGATAATTTGGACAAACATCCAAATAGAGTGAATTTTGGATCATAATAAACAATACAAATTTGTAAAAATAAATATAGATAATAAATAGTATTCTTAACATGTAAACTTCTCCAACTCATAGTCAATGCTTAGAAAGGCCCCTCTTATGATCCTAATCTGATCTTAATGAGTAAATTCGAGATTTAGTGAAAATTCTCCAATTTACGGAACCAAATTCTGACTTAAAACGAACAGTTACCGTAAAATCGAAAATTCTTACAGTTTTCGAATTTCCTTCTTTTCTTTTGGTATTTTTCATTTTTATGCTGAAAAATTTTTCTTATCTTGTATTCTACTAAAAATATAGAGAGAAAATAATTTAATGTATTTCTCGGAACTGAAATCGGACATAAATTCCGACTACAATCGAAAAACGCAAATTCTAAAAATTTCATATTTCTCTCTAATAATTTAAATAGACTAAAATGTCTAAATAAATTTTCTCACTTCTTTGAACATTTATAACTTAATAACTGGGCTCGAAACTAGGAACGAGCATTATTAATAAAAGTAATTAGTTCAAACTTAGAACTAAAAATAATTACTTTTATTAATTACTGAATGGGATATTACAGCTCTCTCTCTTGGGTCCTTCACGAGCGCGGAAGTGGTTAGGGGTGCCCTTCTTGGTTTTTCTCTCAAATATCACTAAGTGTTCGAGCTATGGAGTGTCCAAGAGCTTATTTGTCTCTGAAGAATGATGATTATAAAGGTTTAGGGGTGGATGGTCCAAGATATGGTCAATGGGGGACAATTTAAGTGGTCTTTCACCATATTCAAGTGCATGGGGAAATGTTTGGGTCTTGGACTTGTGTTGGCCAGACTTTGCACGGTTTTCGGAGGCTTTGGCATGACATTTGGGGTGGTGGAGTTGTCTGGTCGGATGTCTAAGGAAGTGGGGGACAAGTCCTCACCCAAAGCATTAAATAATTAAAAAAATCATGCTTCACTCAAGACCAAGGCTAGTTGACTTTGACTAATACTTCTCTAGAGCTAAATAGGCTGAAAAGACTCCTTATTGATCTGGTTGTATTCCCACAAATTTGGGCTCGAGAGAAGTGGCTGAAAAATGGAGTATTGGCTCGGTTAGCGGGCTGGTGCTGTATGGCGAGGGGAGCCCTTGACGCGGCCTACTGAGGCAGCATGGGCTGGGCGTGAGGCTTGCTGGGCGGTGCACATGAAATGGCTTGGGGTGATGAAATGCTGGTACTTGGTGAATTTTGGGACTAACAAAATTTTCCAAATGCTGTACATAGACTTTGGGCAAGGCTCAGGTAAGGCCATTGGCTTGGCTCGGCATTGACCCGGCTCGCGGAAACCTTGAGCGCGAGCGGCTTGGGGCAATGATGGTGCCGAGGGACTTGGGTTCTAGGGCCTCACTTGGTACTACACACACTTAGAAAAATTGCTAAGTATTATTCTACCAAGGCTCGGCTATGCTTGGAGCGCGGTTAGGGCTCGAGGCTAGGGTTTAGGCGAACGAAAACTATTTCGAGCAAAACCCGAAATAATAACCTTGAACTTAATATATTTGAGCATTTAAAAGCATAAAATACATAACTCGGAATTTCTGAAAATTACAAATTTCACTTATAGTCGAGCAGTGAAATCGTTTTACTATTATAATAATGATCGGGACGTTACATGTCTAGACTGCTCTCGTCGGCCACCATCGACTTCAAATCAAGAAGAATTCTCTTGTTCTTGATTTTTTCGTACACCATTGCGGCCCAAGCCGAGTAGACACCTTGATAACTTTCCCTCAGCTCCTCTTACTGCTGATTTCTGAGGGCTCGAAGTTGTTCTCTCCAGGCTTCCTTGGCCAGACCCCGAGCTTTCTTGGCCTCTTTCTCTTTCGTGGTCGCTCCTCCTGGTACCTCAAAGGTTAGCACGGACATGGACTCCTTAGCCATAAAATGCTGCTGACCCCAGGCTAAGAATTCCTGTTAGGTGGTAGACTTATTCTGACACATCGAACACCTAAACATCATGTTTGGCTTCAAGCCCGAGTATTTTGACATCAACAATGTTTCCTGGTAGCTCAACTTCATGTTTTGAACTCGCACGTTGAAATGAGCGACATAATCCTTCAGGCTCTCCTCGGCCCCTTAGACAATGTTTCTGATTGACTATTTCGGGATCATGCAGACTTAGGACTCTGTAAAATAAGATCGAAAGGCCGACCTCAACTACCACCGGCTCGAAATAGAGTGGGGTACATCGAATGGTACAACCTCTAGGATTTAGGCCCTAATCTCAATGAGAACATTCTGCATCTGAGGGCGTCCCTAGCTCCATGTAGATCCATCCATGATGTGTAAAGCCCGAGGTGCAAGTTCGGTCAAATGTGCCATAACTGAGTCTAATCTGAGGTATCTTGATTTTGATTTTATCTAGCAAGAGACTGCGTAGGATGTCGGATGACAACGGTGAGACCGTATCAACTACGTAGTCGCCTGAAAACAGAGAGGGTGGTGAAGACGTTCTTCTCTCGTACCTCTGCCGAGCTTAGAGCTCGACAACTCTCTTCTTAAGGGCTAGGACCTAGTCAGAATTGCATTTGACTGATTGGTCCCTCAGGATTATTTGTCTGACGTCCTGCTCGGCCTCCTTCTTTCCCAGGCGTGTAAACCCTGAAAGGTTTGGGGACCTCGTCTTATGTTTGGTGACCAACCTACTTTCTCCAGTTTTTTCCGTTCGATTAGGTCTACGGTGTATCTTTTTTGTTTTTCGTCGTCCCGTCTTCGGATTGGGTTGCGGATTTAGACTGGACCTGCCCCTTGCCCTTATCTCTGACGGGATTTTGTGTCTTTATTCACGGGGGTTTTGAGCATGTCGACCACCAGCGTTGACGGCGCGTGCGACGCCGTTGGCAAGACTCGCGTCATGAGGCTCGCCATATCCTTAAGAAATTCCAGATCTTGAAACATCGACCTGAAGTCGATGGTGGGAGCCACTGTGCATGGTTGCTCCGTCATTTGTGTTGAGATTCTCCTTCTTGGCTTGATGAAGACATCTCCTTTGGTTGCTCTTGCAAGTTGTTTTACTGACTGTGGATATGTGTTCTTTAAGTCGAATGGTAACCTCAAACAATATGAGACCCATCCTCTAACGCCAAACTGTTGACCAACGTATCTGATCAACCGATAATGATGGATTAATATTGTTAATATGATATTTAGTCTACTTTAATTCGATATAATATGTTGAATGTGGAAGTAGTGTTCTAAAAGTCGCTAGGCGTCCGCTAAAAATCAATATTAAATACTTTATTTTTTATTTCTTTTAACAATCAACAAAATAAACTATCTCAACTTATAATAAATCCACACACTAAGTCTAAATAATAATATTAATATATATTAAAGAAAACATGAGACCAAAATAATGTAATTAGTATCTTAAAAAAATAAAAAAAATTAAAAAATTACCACCGAGCCCGCCTAGGAGCGCCTAGGTCCGCCTATGCCCGCCTAGGCGCCGCCTAATCGCCTGGCCGCCAAGCCCGCCAAGTCCGCCTATGAGTGCCTAGGGCCGCGTGGACGATTTTTTTTGCTGATTTGTGCAAATCGGAGGCGCTCGGGCACCGCCTAGCGCCTAGGCGTCGTCTAGACCGATTTTTAGAACAGTGTGTGGAAGTAAGTGGAAACAAGGTTGAATATTTTTCCTTTGGTGAGCTCGTGCACTCGTATTTAATGTTATATTTAATAAAAGAATTTATGTCTTGAATCCTTTCACAAGTGATTCTTAGTACTATTTATAGTAAGGGTAGCCTGAATACTGTTAATCGGGCAGCACATCAAACATTAAATGAAAAAGACACACATTAAGTTCGACATCTGACCCTATTAGGCTATGACACGTAGGCTGACAGTCATTTGGTGGGCTTGTCCCATCCTTCATCATTAGGCTACAAGTGGCCTTCATTTTAATATTTTTCGCCGCCTTAGTGCGCTTGGCTAGGGACTTCGATATTAATTTTTTGGCTCATTTTATCTAAGTATCGAGCTCGGTTCGATGGCTTTGACAATTTTTTGGCCGGCCTTACAGTTAAGGTTACCCGACCAAGTTGTCCTACTTAATTCTCGCTCGGTACACTACTATTTTTACTCCTAAGTTCAATTTTCACTCTTAATCCTCCGACCCAAGTATCTGGCTCGGTTGCTTTTTCATTATGCAGTCATATTTATTTCTGGGTTCACCCAGTTCAACTCGAATGTCTAACACTCAATTTACCATAACATAAAAATGCACAACTATTTTCAGACACCACCCCAAACCCCCAAAAGCAACAAGAAAAAAAAANCAAAAAAAAAAAAAAAAAAGACCTTTGTTCTCCAATTAAATCCTCCACATGCATGCATATAATAACTATTACAAATACTAAATCGATCACATTGGATCAGAAAACTCTCCAGCTTGCTCAATATCCGACATCGACTCATCCTCCTCGTCGAGATTGAACCCTTGAATCCCATCTGCTCCATGCCCTCGGCCGAAGGCCTTTATGTGGTCTTTTAGTGACCTCTTGTGCTTAAAATCCGAACCGCAAAAACAGTACCAAATCTTGCCACAATTCTTCTCATGCGTCCGCCAGTCGCCCTTGACTGCAAACGGCTTCCCACATTTTCGGCACATGAAAGGCTTTGCCCCGTGCTTCCTTTTGTAGTGCGTTTGGAGGGTTCTGAAGTCTTTGAGGGCTCGGGCCCTCGGGCTGTCAATGTTATGCTTACAACCCGGTGCACAACAGTAGCACGGGAGCCTCAGCATTGCTGTAGGCTGTGTGCCTCTTAGAGATTCCGGGCCTTTCCGGAATTGCGATCCGTGACCCCACATATGCATCTGTATTTTCATCAATTAAAGGTTCAAACACACAAAACCGATAACCATATGTGCAATAACATAATTTGCAACTGCAACTTTGATCTTTTCAATGGATCTAAATGTGATGTTTGTCCAAATATAGTACCACAGCTTTACTAGACATACAGAAAAGACTCTTGCCATTTAATTTGTCTTAGAATACAAGTATTTTAACGAGAAATGAACTACTTGCACAAGCGTAATATTGTTCTTCTGTTGTTTACTTTTCCTTTGTAATTCTTGCTGTTGACTCATTGACATAATTAGTTCTTCAAGTAAATGTATGTGATGATTAGTCTTTCCAAAATCAAGTTTTCATCAGAAAAAAAAAAAAAGAGAATCAGGTTTTCAAATATCTAGCCAATACTGGAAATATCATGAATTGATCTAATATTGTAATACTATAAACGTTTTTATGCTTTGGCTCTATTTCCCAAGCCATTTTAGTTAATAAAACCATATTATATACTTATTTTTTAAGAATATATGATAAATCTCTTTAGTAAATATTTCAGAAAGGAAAAAGATAAAAAGAATCCGCACATGTAAGGAAAAAATGTGCAACCAACATTAAACATTATTGAACAGCTAATCCAGAAACAAGCGCATTTGTTTTAATCTTTGCACACATTTTTCGAGAATCTTCTAAGACATTAATTAAGTTCAATGAAAGCACACGAGCGCATATATTATATAGTTAGAGAGGGTATACACATAGAAATTGGGATGGACAGAAAAAAATAAAAAGAAAAAAGAAGAAATTAAGCAGCGCCGATATGAGACGGCTACAAAAGAAAAATAAATTCCAATGAATGGAAAAATATTCTAATAAAAAATCTTACGAATATTTAATGTTGAAAGCCTTTATTCGAAATTTCCAACGGATTTAAGTGAATGCTTGAAATCATTAATTCGAATTAAAATATTGTAACTTGATCATGAGGTATATTGTAGTTCCATTAAAATATGATGTTTTTGTAGGATTTGTGCTGCCAATATTTCTAACCTGAAAAATTATCGTTAGAATCATTAATATTAAAATAAAGATTCAGAATAAATGTTATAATATGAAAATATCAATTGAAATTTCTGTTGCCATATATTCACGTTTGAATTTAATGATTTTCTGTACATCTCAAGANCACAAGTGCAGCAAGCTAAATCTTTTACATTTTGCAGCGTGAGAAACATATCAAAACAGTGACGCCTTGCGAAATTGCCGTGTTTTTTTAATCACATAAAAAAAAAATTCACATGCATTTGGCTGACTAACAAACAGTGTTCCGCACAAACTTCGAAGATTTCTACACATAGTGGGACACTCACCCACACCACAAACACACAAACAAGAAGGGTAACAAAAAAAGAAAAAAAAAATGAAAATAAATAATAATCTGATTTATTTTAATTTGCTTTTTTCTAGGATTGGAAAATACAAAATAGCCTCAATTGTTGCTTAATTATAAAAGGAAAAATACTTCACAATATGACATAATGAAAAGACATAAACATAGTAACTGATGATTAATCCAGTGATTGACATGATACAAAGTGACTGTTGAATCTGGAAAACTGACTCGAGTTTCCCAACATAGACAAGACCCAACAACACAATAATAATAATACCACTCAAAAAAACAACATAAAAATATTCAGGAGTACTTTTAAAAACCTGAAAAGAAAGAAAAGATATTGATGCTTCACTTTATTCATTCAAACGGTCCAATCCAAATTTCAACAACATTTAGGTTTAGGTTTTATTAGTTTGTCCAGAAAAAAAAAGTAAGTAAAGGAGTAATTAATTAAATACCTGGAGGTTATTATATCTGGTAAAAGTCTTGGAACAAAGGGGGCAAGTGAATTGAGTAGGCCCATTAAGGATTTGGTGAGGCGTTGGAATCCAATACTGATGGCCCATGTCTAACGGCAGTCCGGAGAGTATTTCCACATCACAAGCCCTAGTGCTGGGCCTAATAGGAAGCCCTATCTCTAGTGATATGCCCATATTATAATTATCTTCATCTTCGGATTTTATGGCATCCGGGCTAATTAGATTTAGGGTGTTGAGGAGAGGAAGGGCTTTTTTTGGAGGAGTATTGTAGGTATAAGTGGGATTATTGTTGCCAACTATTTGTGGTCTACTGGTTGAGGAAGCTGAAGGAGAAGATGGTGAGGTTTGTGAGTGAAGGGGAATGAAGTTGAAGTAGGAAAGATTATAGTAAGATTCTGATCTCATGATGATTAATGACCTGGTAATATATATTGGCCTTTTGATTATTTCACCTGATAATATATTAGCTGCAGACATACACACACTTGTGTTGTTCACCTTCTGTTTCTCTTTCTATATATGGGCTAAGAGAGAGAGAGAGAGAGAGAGAGAGAGAGAGAGAGAGAGAGAGAGAGAGAGAGAGAGAGTAAAGGAACAAAACTTCTAAGGCAATGATAGTTTGGAAAATCAATAAATCTTCACCCTTTGAAGCTGGCTGCAAACCAAGGATAATGTATAGGCAAATTTTAGAGGAAGAGGTTTTATATTCTATTTATCTCTCCACATAGCTTGCTCATTATTTTAATTGGGCCGGGGCGGGGGCTTAGTGGGAGTTTGTTTATAATTTTTTTAATCAAATTTTAATCTATATTTAAAATTTGATTTAATTTTAACACAACTTTACTATTTTAAATATTATTAATATAATTAAATAATAGTAATCAATCATCCTTATATGTCACATGAACTTTATTTTAATATTCATCTATTTACATAATTTTACCTAATAATCACTTCACATCATCTTTCTCCTACTTTTACATCAAATCAATGTTAATTTTTTTATTTTAAATATTATTTTAATATAAACTCAAAACCCTGTTAACAACTAACAATACCACATTTTTTCAAATTAACTCGAGTTAACCAAAATAACTCATTTTGAAAGGATATATCTGTATCCAAGCACACGCTTAGAGTGTGTACGTTGTAATTAAAAAATGACTGAGTACTCCACTACTTGAAAGTGTACGTGCATGATTTGGGGGTAGATTTCAGTTAGTGACCAGGTTTATTTATTAAACACAAGAAAACGTGCTCACCCTGGAAATAAGGGCGAAGCGCCTCTCTTACGCTTCTTTCCCTTCCCCTAAATTATAAGAAAACAGATGCAAAAAAATTTCAGATTAGCGTCGAGCCTCCTTGCGGCTGCCGAAAGCTTCGCGAAGATGGCCGGCTCTCTGGCTTCCTCCTTTTTGATGTCGGTCTCCAATCCCTTGTCTCGGCAGAGCGCTCTGGAGGTGGCGGCTGGTGGTGGGTGTGGGGTTCGTAGGCGCCGTCTACTGCTCTTTCGGTGGAAGGTGCTAAGGCCAACAATATTACCTCCCTTGGTTCTCGTCTGCTGCTTTGGGTTGGGGATGGTCGGTCTCCTCCGGTGGGCTTGAGTGTGTTTTGTTGTTGATTAGGTTTGTGGTTGTTGGTTTCGGTTGTTGCCGGAGTCGTGTTGAGGGAGGTGATAATTGCCTGGTCCCGAAGCTGTTTTTTGGTAGTGGTCCATTTGAAAGGAGAACTCGGCTTTATTGATGCAAGCCGAGTTTGCATTCGCCGTATAAGTGGCAAAATACTCCCACACTCTCCTCGCACTCTTGCTCTCTAAGTAAAGAGATGAGAAAAGGTCTCAGTCTAGGGTCTCGGTACAACAGTAACACCACGAGGGGAAAGAAACCCCCTTCGCCAACACTATATAGTCAATCAGAATCTAGCGCAAAAAAAGGCGTCAAATTAAGGAAGACAGAGATGGTCGGGGTAAAGAAGTCGGTCCAAATGGCCCCGAAGAGAAGTTAGTCTGGTCATCCTGCTGAACTTCTCCCCAAGCCGAGGACGTAGAGAAAACACCTGGACATGTAAGTCTCCACCTCATACGTACTGTCCAAACCGTCGTCCGAGATGGGAATCTGCTGGGTCTGCTCTAATAGATGGTTAGTAAAGCCGCTCAAGAACCCAAGACCCTCTCTAATGTGCATTGGTCCACAAATCCTTCACCCGCAGGGAAGGGGAGTGAGTGACCTGTATAGCGATCGAAAAGGGGCCCTCACCAAACCACTACTCGTCCCAAAAGCTAACATCCACCTCACCCAACGTCCAGAAGATGTGCTCCTTGACACCCTTAGCTACTCCATTGAGCCGCTTTCACTGTCTACTATCTCAATTGGTGACCGTCACCCTGCAGGGGTGACAGGCACCTTTAGGGCAATACTTCTCGTGAAGGTACTAGTCCCAAAGCGACATCGCCTCCCTGAAGTATCATCACATCTTGTAAGAGAAGGCAGTCACATGTCCGGAAACAGCTGATTTCGAGGCCTCCCTAAACAAAAGGACGGAAAACGAAGTCCCATTTCACCCAGTGGTGTTGTCTCCTCCACCGGGATCCCTCCCCGTGTCCCAAAAAATAACAAACCATGTTTTGATCAAGCTCATGGAGAGTGTGGGGGGATCAAGGATCATAAGGAGATGAATCGGAAGGGCGCTAAGGATGCTTTTGATCAAAGCAAGCCGACCGCCAAAAAACGATGTCTAAGTGCTGGAACACGCCGGCGAGGCGGTCCATCTCATGGATCGATATCGGATACCAAACATGTACATACATGATTTCAAACAAAGAATTACCTTTCTTTGTTTGATTCGATCTGAGCGACCTTCTAGTCTGTGTCCCGACCACGTTTGGACGCCGGATGGACGACGATCTACCAAATGGTTGAAAGGAGTGGATTGCGTCTCGTCTTCTCTGAACCCTTCACGTCACTTCTCCACGATGGTGGCTGAAGAATGTCACGTTCTGTGATAATGCGTAGGGTTAAAGACGTGCAATCCCTTATTTTATATAGGTCCTTGGGCCAGACTAGGAATCTCTTACAAGGTAAAGGGTTTGGGCTTCCTACGGGCCCAAATTCTTATGTTTAGCCCAGAACACAAATTTGTCCCGTAAATATTAATTCATTCCACTAGAGAATTAATATTGCACTTCCGTCCTATCCCGAAATGAATCAGGGCTTCTATTAGACTCGATATAATTCTCCGTGTTTAAGATATCGCACGTCCATTAATTATTAAAGCTTCTGACTGCTTTAATTAACTAATATCTTTTATTCCTTAAGTAGTACCACTCAACCTTATTATCGTACAGATTAAATCCACCTGCAGGGTTTGATACGATAATCCTTATGAATTCCTTAAGGGGACGTCATCAACCTGGATGCCCAGGACACGGTTCCCTAATGCCAATAAATAGATATCATGCAGACAATGTTGTTACCCAAGATACGGAGCATATTGAACCAATGCTTGGTTCTCACCCATGGTAAATCAAAGTAACAAACAAATATCCCACATATCTAAGTATCACAGTTAGGGTTAAGAATTAGTAGAGTACCGAGACCTTGGTTCTTCATGATACTCAGAATAGAAGAACACGTCTCAACTGTGATCCATTCAATGCGACACAGTGCACTAGTATAAACCAATAGCCAAGACAAGCTACATCCAGTTTATACTACAACCTACACCGATAGTCATGTCCATAACTATCTCAGTTGTGAATACCATTTATATCTTATAAGGGACCGACAATGTAATCTTTTGTGTGACTACTAACACACCACATTGTCTACAATATAAGATAATTGGACATTTAGCATACAAACAATCATAAAGAATGCAACAATGTGAAAACATTTATTTTAGTTAAATGGAAAATCGAATAAATACAATCTAAAAGCTCACATAAAAGTTTGCTTTACAGTATACTCCAACAATCTCCCAGTTATACTAAAGCTAAACTTTTACTATACAACCACATGTCAAAACAATTCTCCCACTTATACTCAAAGTCTAGCTGCAACACATCGTAAACCAAGACCCTCTACGTGTTTCTCGAAGACATTGACAGCCAGAGTCTTCATGAAGGGATCAGCTAGGTTGTCCAACGATGCTATCTTAGTCACAACCACATCTCCTCGTTTTACGATCTCTCATATAAGGTGGTACTTTCTCTCTATGTGTTTACTGGCCTTATGTGCTCTGGGTTCTCTCGAGTTTGCGACTGCACCAGCGTTGTCACAATAAATTGTGATACACTTAGGCACACTCGGAGACACCGCTAAGTTTAGTAAGAAGCTTCTGAGCCAAACAACCTCCTTTGTTGCTTCTGATGCAGCAACGTATTCGGCCTCCATGGTGGAATCTGCGATGCATTTCTGCTTCACACTCCTCCATGAGATCGCTCCGCCTCCCATCATAAACACATAACCCGAGGTCGACTTTCTCTTATCTCGATCAGCTTGAAAATCAGAATCTGTGTAACCCAAAGGAGTGAGACCGTCTGACTGGTAAATAAGCATATAATCTCGAGTTCTTTTCAGATACTTGAGAATATGCTTTACCGCAGTCCAATGTCCTTGACCAGTGTTAGACTGATTTCTCGCTACCATCTCAACCGCATAGCAAATATCAGGCCTCGTGCACAACATGGCATACATAAGGCTTCCTACAGCCAAAGCATAAGGAACCTTAGCCATTTCCTTCATCTCCTTTTGTGTCTTCGGACACATATCCTTAGATAGAGAACTCCATGCCGAAAAGGTAGCAACCCTTTCTTGGAGTTCTGCATGCTAAAACGAGCAATCACAGTATCAATGTAAGCGACTTGGAATAAACACAACATTCTCTTCTTCCTGTCACGAATGACCTTGATTCCAAGAATGTACGATGCCTCACCCAAGTCCTTCATTTGAAACTGATCTGAAAGCCATACCTTTACGTCTGACAAAATCTTGACATCGTTGCCGATGAGAAGAATATCATCTACGTATAGTACTAAGAATACTACTACGTTTCTGTTGCTCATTTTGTATACACAACTTTCGTCTTGACATTGATCAAATCCATAGGACTTGATCACTTCGTCACAACGATATTCCAAGACCTAGAAGCTTGTTTGAGTCCATAAACAGACTTCTTTAGCTTCCATACTCGATGCTCTTGGCCTTTCTTCACATAAACCTCGGGTTGCTGCATATAGATGTTTTCATCCAAGTTTCCGTTAAGGAAAGCTGTCTTGACATCCATTTGCCAAACCTCATAGTCCAGGTGAGATGCTATGGATAAGAGAATCCGAATCGACTTAAGCATGGCTACTGGTGAGAAGGTCTCATCATAATCGATTCCCTCTTCTGAGTAAAACCCTTCACAACCAACGGCAACAACTTGCCCATCAGATCCTTTCTTATGCCTATAGACCCATTTGCACCAAATGACTTTCTTGCCCTCAGGAAGGTCCCTAAGGTCGTATACCTCCATAGCATCTATAGATTCAATCTCAGAATCCATAGATTTCTGCCAAAAATCTGCATCTGCGTCTTGGATTACCTCATTGTAGGTCCAGGGATAACTATCATGCTCTTCACTGGGGATCAAGTCCGAAGACTCTACCACAAACATGAAACGATTGGGCTGGCGAACAACCCTCCCACTACGACGAGGCAGTTCAGGTGTAAATACATCAGAGTCAACACGTTGTGCAGTCTCTTGTGGTATATCCTCTTGCACACTAGGTGTGTCATTGTCTTCCCTCAACTCTTTGAGAATAATCTCACTCTTGGACTTATGCTCACTCATATAGTCTTCTTCTAAAAACTGGGCATTGGTGCTTACCACCACCCTTTAGTCTTTAGGACTATAAAAGTAACCACCTCTCATTCCTTTTGGGTTACCTACAAACAGCCGTACTTCTGTTCTAGGTGCCAACTTATTAGCTTCCTTATCCAACACGTATGCTGGGCAGCCCCAAATCCGAATGTGGTTTAAACTGGATTGCGCCCAGACCACAATTCTATTGGAGTTTTCAAAATCGATTTAGAAGGGACGAAGTTAAGAAGGTACGCCGCTGTTTCCAATATGTATCCCCAAAACGAGATAGGTAATGAAGCATAGCTCATCATCGATCTCAGCATTTCCAACAGAGTCATATTCCTTCTCTCTGCTACGTTGTTCTGTTGGGGAGTACCAGACGCAGTCAGCTGGGATGTAATCCCATTCTCCAATAAGTATTGCCTAAATTCATTGTTAAGGTATTCGCCACCACGATCAGATCGCAGTGACTTGATACTTTTCCTTTGATGGTTCTCCGCTTCTGCCTTGAATTCTCTGAACTTGTCAAAGCATTCAGACTTGCGGCGCATCAAGTAAATGTACCCACATCTTGAGTATTCATCAATAAAAGTAAGGAAATACTCAAAACTACCTCTATCTTGAATAGACATAGGCCCACACAAATCAGAGTGAATGAATTCCAACACATTATTGGACCTATTCCCCTTGGCCTTAAAAGGCCTAGAAGTCATCTTACCTTCCAAACAGGATTCGCAGACTGGAAATGGATCAACTTGAAAAGAATCCAAAAAGCCATTACCTACCAGCCTTTGGATCCTCCTTAGATTAACATGACCCAACCTTAGGTGCCAAAGATATGTTTGATTCAACTGAGAAGGTTTCTTTCTCTTGTTTAGTGATGAAGATGCATGAGCCTCAGCCACAGTATGATATGC